GAGTTTCAGTCGATTTGAAAACTTCTTGCGTTTATTGAGTCTATACTCCGATAGCATACGAATCCGGGCTATCATTATGTGAAACATTTCCTCCATATCTGTGGCCACCAGTCCTTTGCCGGCGAAGTCCACGATCTCATTGACAATGAATTTGACTTTACCTTTAATATCGGCCTCTTTTTTAAAATTGCGTAAAATTTTATCTTTAAAAGCATTTGGCATTTGGGCGGACATTATAGTCAACATAAACTCCATCACCATATCATCCGTTAACTCCTCATCGCAATAGCGAACATCACTTATCAGATCAACGATAACCACCTTATCTGCCATTCCCTTCACCAGTAATTTACCGCAAATGAGGGCAGTGTCCAAATAGCCCACCACATCGTACTTCCCTTTTGGTTCAATGTGTTTCAGTAGATTGACATAATGATTGCCAACCTCTTTAAGAGTGGACAGTTGGCACACTTCACGGGTCCAGTTTAGGCCAATCACCGGTCGGTTTAACTGTTGTGACAACTCTTCAAACATTATAAAATTAATCGAAAGGGTTGGCATCAGATATACAGGCCGTCCAGTAGTGACTGCGTTGAGTTTTACAATAGGCTCAGTGGGTATAATAAACTTTTGTTTCAACAAATTAGCCCGGGCACGTTTTATTTCATCCATGTGTTTGCGGATGTTATCGAGATTTCCGGACTGGTATTCCTTTAGCATTCCTATAGTAATACTTTTCACGTGATTGAGACTCACTTTCATATTCCACTCCCTTTCCATCTCCTGCTGTAACTCTACGGCAAACATGGACTCCAACCCAATCTCACCCAGGGTTAGGTGTTCGGGGGTATTGTCGGGGTCGATGCCCAGAGCCCGCTACTCACTTTCATATTCCACTCCCTTTCCATCTCCTGCTGTAACTCTACGGCAAACATGGACTCCAACCCAATCTCACCCAGGGTTAGGTGATCGGGGGTATTGTCGGGGTCGATGCCCAGAGCCCGCCATAGCTCGGCAACCATTCGTTTATCCCTACCACCGGATTCACGTATTTTGTCAGCTTTTACCTTGATTAATTAGAAATTATGTTGCTTAAAAGCATTTGAATAATCATAACTTACATATGAGGTAACTATTGGCTCTTTAATAGCTAACAATTTGTCCAAAACATCACAACAAGAGTTAATCCGTTGTTTCTTTAGAAGTGATAATGAAATCCATTGATCCTCGTCTGCAATCACTCCCACATCACCGATGGGTCCGTACTGTACGGCCAGTCCGTGCAAACCATCCCTTTGTCTTTGTTCACAAATGCGTTCACACATAGAGTTTGTGATAATGAAATCCATTGATCCTCGTCTGCAATCACTCCCACATCACCGATGGGTCCGTACTGTATGGCCAGTCCGTGCAAACCATCCCTTTGTCTTTGTTCACAAATGCGTTCACACATAGAGTTCCCGAACGCATAGTTAGTCTGACCTCCATTTCCCTTACCACAAGCCATGGATGAAAATACGACAAAATAATCCAATTTGTAGTCCAATTTTCGGGTCAATTGATCCAAATTCGTGAATATCTTATGTTTGGTATCAATAGACGAACAAAACTTTACCGATGAAAATACGACAAAATAATCCAATTTGTAGTCCAATTTTCGGGTCAATTGATCCAAATTCGTGAATATCTTATGTTTGGTATCAATAGACGAACAAAACTTATCAAACGTTAACTTCTCTATCAAACAGTCATTCAATTCAAGCGCCAAATGAAATACCCCTCCAATGGGTCCCAACTCTTGAGCCTCTTTTAACAGTTGTTGTGTGCCTTCAACAGTAAACCCATTGGCAGTCGACACGACCCAATCGGACTCATAAAACTTTACTACTTTTGAATAGAGTCGGAAACGATTATAAAAATATCTCTGATAATCAGTTTTAATCCCTGATCTCGAAGTAGTGATGAATTTTCGGGCACCAAAATATTGCATCCATGGGATCAGTTCCATACCCATCCCTCCCAAACCACCGGTGATTATATAGACTTTGTTTGGATCGAAAAATGTCTTAATATTAGATATCATATCGACGGCCGGTTTAATGGCTTTCAGTGGTTGTCTGTCAGTCTCTTCGTCTCTCATTTTCAAGACTACTTTCCCGATGTGTTTACCGGTTGTCATGAATCGGAATCCTTTCTCAACATCTTTGGCCTTAAATACCGTATAATTGATTGGTTTAACGCATCCATTCTTCGAGTTCTTGTGAACCCAATCGTAAAACTCTGGGAAGAAATCCTTGCCTTCGAGTAAAACCATATCGAAGACAATACCAATGAATTGAATGTTTTTTGTGAAGTCAAACATTCCTATCTGTTTGTTGTGAATCATATCAAAACGTCCCAACTCTACGAACCGGCCATTATTTGCCACACATTGATAACTAGCGTCCAGTTTGTCGCCGGACAGGGAGTTCAGTACGATATCAACTCCGCGTCCTTTCGTCGCTTTCATGATGTGATTCTTGAAGAGAATATCTCTTGAGTTGAATATCCGGTTCACAGGAATGTTATACTCCTTCACAAGGAATTGCTTTTTCTCTTNGTTCAGTACGATATCAACTCCGCGTCCTTTCGTCGCTTTCATGATGTGATTCTTGAAGAGAATATCTCTTGAGTTGAATATCCGGTTCACAGGAATGTTATACTCCTTCACAAGGAATTGCTTTTTCTCTTCCGTCCCAACCGTCACATAAATATCGCACCCGTAGTGGAGACACATGTTTATAGCTGACTGTCCTAAACCTCCCGCCGCTGAATGTATTAATATACTTTCGCCTATTATTTTAAAATAATAATATTAAAATTAACTACAGTATAGTGAAATATATTTTATGAGTATTTACCTCGTTTCAATTGAGCCCTTTTGATTAACGCAAAATACAGGGTCCCATAATTGCTAAGAATAGTCACCGCCTCAGCCATAGACCAGTGATCGGGAACTGTAGTCATGCTATGAATGTTAGCATTCAATGATGTGGCGTACGTACGGCCCATATCCATACCCATCACCCGTTCCCCGGTATCAGCTCTACGGCCCGCATATTCACAGCCTAGCGGACAGTCTGTGAACAAGATTTCTGGGCCATGAGGTATACGACCTGTAATTGTAAATATAATAGTGTTTATATGTTATATGTTTATAATTAAATTAAAAATTATGTTCATTATATTGTATACTGTTTATAGTCTCAATAAACAGTATTTACTTGTGAATGGCATACCTGTTGCAGTCATAACGTCGTGAAATGAAATACCGGCGCAATATATTTCTACTCTTGTTTTATTTAACTTGTTACTATTGGCATCGTACTGACTTTTAACCATGGCTATCTTTCTACTATCAAACCACTGTAAGCCTGATAAATCTTTAATTTGTCCGGCATTTAGATAGTAGTCATTTGAGAGGCATTTGTCGTAATCCGTGGGAAGTCTTAAGTGTCGATAAGTTCCCACTTTTCCCTCTTTCACGACATTCGCCACCAAATCGTTGGCCAATATATCGCTATAAGGGCTGACATTGAAG